CCCTAAACCCTAAACCCTTTCCTCGTCAAAGCCCTAGGTCTGCCATGAAGAGGGCCTTGGTACTTGGAATCGGGTTTCCTGTCTATGATAGCTATACCTATAGCAAGGAGCCTAAAGGAATACGGTTCGTAATAATTCAGTTTAGGAGTCTAGGGTTAAGGGTTTAAGGGTTTAAGGGTTTAAGGTTTTAAACCCTAAATTAGGGTTTATGGTTTAAGGGTTTAAGGGTTTAAGGGTTTAAGGGTTTAAGGGTTTAAGGGTTTAAGGTTTAGGGTTTATGGCTTAGGGATCTAGGGTTTAGGGTTTAGGGTTTAGGGTTTAGGGTTAGGCTCTCAGAACTCCCTGCATGTAAAGAAAACCGCCGAAAGGAACCGCACTGCCCTGAACCCTGAACCTGATCCGCAAGCCCTAACTCCCAAACCCCTGAACTCGAATCCCAAATCTCGAAGCCTTAGCCCCAATCCCTAATCCCTAGACACTCCCTAAACCGCAAACTCTAAACCCTAAACCCACCCTAAGCTTTCTCCTCGCCCTATCGCAGCTGCGCGACTTCCAACCAACCAGGAAAGTCCACCGGCTCGCGATTTCTCAAAGTGACCTTCATTTGTGGTTAGGGTTTATAGAAACCCTAAACCCTGAACCCTACAATCCTATACCCTCAGCCCTAACCGCCCCCAACCCTTTTAGGGATTAGAAAAAGCTTAGGGCTTAGGATGGTTTTAGGATCCAGGATTGAGGGAGTTCCTGTAACGCTGGCTGCTAATATTTACAGTTCCTTGAGGATACCGCTCAGGACAGCTCTTAAACCCTAAACCCTAAACCCTAAACCCTAAACCCTAAACCCTAAACCCCCAAAACCCTTCCTTAGTAGAAATTGTATAGGAATTGGGCCCGGGTTTTGTTGATTTTGATTTCGCATTTGGGGGGCTGGGCTCGGCCGGGCCTAGCTAGGGCTCAGGGTTCAGGGTTTAGGGTTTATTAAGGTTTAGAGTTTAGGGTTTAGAGTTTAGGGTTTAGGGTTTAGGGTTTAGGGTTTAGGGTTTAGAGTTTAGGGTTTAGGACTCAACCGAATTGGGGCTGGGATTGGGGGCGGCTGGGGCTGGGTGGCTGCAGAGAGGACTGGCGCGGCTCGGAATTGGGCTGCCCTCGCGCTCGCTTCATAAAGATTCGGAACGAATGAAGATGCAGTTCGCAGCGAAATGCACACAATTTCGATGTGTCCTGTTCTTGAGGGTTTAGGGTTTAGGGTTTAGGTTCCTTTCGGGATTTCCTTCACAAGGGTTCATTTGAGGAATTTAATTTAAGGGTTCCTTCAATAGATCCTTCAGGGGTGTCTTAAAGTGTCGGTCCGGTTTCAAGGGTTCCTGTAAGATTTCCTTTCAAGATTTTTTCGCGGGCTGATCTTCGAGATCGGACAGCTCTTGAAACCGCAGCCCGAAACCCGAAACCCTAAACCCTAAACCCTAAACCCCTAAACCCCAAAACCCTAAACCCTAAACCCTAAACCCCTAAATAAGCTCTCAGGGGCTTTAAGCCTGAAACCATTGCTTACAGCCGCAGGCCCAGCAACCTGGAACCTAAAGGTTTTCAGGGTTTAGGGTTAAGGGTTTAGGGTTTGGGGTCTAGGGTACAGGGTTTAGGGTTTTGGGTGTGGGGTTTGGGGTTTAGGGCTTAGGGTTTAGGGTTTAGGGTTTAGGGTTCAGGGGATAGGCTTCAGGGTTTAGGGTTCCTAGACATTCCAAAAACCCTATAGATTCTATAGCAACTCAGAGGATACACCTATACTAGAATTATGGAGTTGGGTCCCAACAAAACCATCCTTATAATGGCTTCTGGGACCTAAGTCCATAGTAGTAGCATATCATGTGGACCCTTCAGGCAACACTTGTAGTACCCTTATAGAAACCCTATCGAAACCCTTATAGATCCCTCGAAAGGTCCCCCAAGAGGGGCCCTAAGTTAGAGACTACCCACTTGCAGCCGCATCACTGACGAGGTGGTGCAGATGTTCGATCTGCAGAGAGGCGATGACTTCAGCCGTCTGACGGCCGACGGCACTGAGTCCACGTAGCGTGCCTTGGGGTTTTAGGGTTTAGGGTTTAGGGTTCAGGGTTTAGGGTCTTAGAGCTCCGCATTATGACTTCCTTTATGCAGCCTTAAAAGAGAAAGTAGGTTCTTCAGGTACCCTAAACCCTAAACCCTAAACCCAAGGTTCAGGTAGGCTATATTTAGCGTTGAGGGTCGAGGGTTGGTAGATTCGCTTTTGCCAGGCTTTTGCACGGGTTCCACAAGGCTTTGCAAGGCTTTCCAAGCATTTTGCAGCGGATATAAACGAGCAGAGGT